GCAGGCATATATAAAAATATTAAATTTTTTATTGCAACATAAGCAAATCTTTTTCAAGCTTATTTATGCATAATATGAATCAGGAAATTGCTCAGCTTTCCCAGGAACCTTTCTGATTAAATGAGTAAGGAGATTTACTACGGCTATGGTGGAAGAACTATGCAAACAATATTTTATTTGACGTATTTTGTAGCAGTATTGGAAAGAAATCATCAGAATACCTCCAATCTAGGTTTTTGCAAAAGCTTTCAGTGGTCAAATCGTTGAATTCAATCAAAAATCAGTGTCCAGAGGGTATGCAATCACTTCCTAACGGTTTACCTTGCATTAACGATTATGGCTGTGATATGCAAACGACTGGTTACAAATGTTATAGCAATATTTGTTGTAAAACAAAAAAATATTCAGGTCGAATCTATTTTTTTCTTTTCTCATTTTAAACTTGTCAATAAATGTACACTACTAAGTACTGTGCAGTTAAATGGTACTTTTATTACAATACGAAGGTTTTAGCTGCTTTTAAAAAATCTATTGATAATAAGCTGTATTAGCACGAGTATTTGTTTATCTCTAATCTCACTAGTATTAGATGAGCATGCCACGACCTCTTACAATGAAGGAGGTCAATGCTATCAACGGAAGGTCAAATTGCAGGCTTAGTTTATTGATAGGAGTGTGAGAATAAAGTCAACAAGCATGCTATAAAGTTTACAATTGAAATAACAAAATTGTTTCAACAAATTTGCCTTACATTACATTGATAACATCTCAAATATATTATCGCTGACGTAGAATTAGATATTAGTGATCAAAAATCAGTGTGGAATAGCATGTGTGAGCAGGTTGACTGCAAAGCTTGTTATTAATTAATAAGCATAATTTGGAATAAAGTGCTGCCTCACGTTCTATTTAATGCTTGCTCTCAGAAAGCATTTTTTGGCTTCCTTAGATAACAACTATTATTTTAGTAAAATTTCTGAGAGCAATTTTTCAGCCAATTAATTAATTACTGATCAATTTTGCATCACAATGTTGGATACTTTCGATTTCATCTTTGAAATTTTGTTCCCATGAACTTTTTTGATGTTGTAAATATGTTCCTATTGACCTGCTCTGTCTTGCTAGGTATAATAATCTTGAACTAGCCAGCCAAGCAATTGTTCAAAACAGATAGTAAATCGAGAATGGAAGTCAAGCATCAGTTGTGATTCCTAATAAACAGTATTCAAGAATATTTGTCCTTCTACTCTCATTCTAGTCTTTGCAGAGACCATTAGAAAATTATAATTAGTTATTAGCTCAAAATGATCTCATTTTTTCTTAACAAATAATTACTTTTCCACCAATAAAAATTAGCATAATTGGTAGAATCGAATGCTTCTTAGTTATCAACAATAATCACTAATTTGCACCTAAAAATTCGCATAGTGGAGACTTAGAGAATATGTATAATAATACTAAGTGATCATAGATAGAAGTGAACGTATTGTCATAGGTTCAAAAAGTCCTTTCAGCTTATTCCCATATGGTTAGTTTTGATGTGTCAGTACCGAATCCAAAATGCTCTAAACCGGAATCTCGTGTAGAATACATGGATGGCGTCCCAGTTCAATGCTTGTACACTGCTTGCTCCCCCGGTTTTACTTGTGAGTACTCCAAATCCAGAAACAGAGCTCAGTACATATGTTGCAGTGATACAACTGATTCTGTCGTGGGTAATTTTCAATACTGTATGCAACTACAGTTTCATCAATGTAAAAAAAATGTGAAATGTACAGATGAGCTTGTAAGCGTCTTTTTTGCTTGTATTTTGATTGAATTACAGTGCTTCATGTACTTATTGGCTTTCAAAGTAAATATGTATCATTTAGATCAGATTTACAGTTTGCAACAATTTTGTCATAAATAACTATTCCGGATACTTAAGAAATGTATTACTTCACCACTTGCAGGCAAAGTTCGGATGTATCCAAACTCAGATATTCCATTACAATGCTTTTCGCCTACAGCATGTCATAAATATCCTGAAACACCAAATTGCGTTTCATCTGATCTTTACGGTTTCAATGTTTGCTGTTCTACAACCAACTGTTCATAATCTCTTTTACTATTTTTGAAGTAAACAGAATCCTTGAATCTTGGTTCATCTTACTTCAGATTACTGAACATCTCGAAATTGACATTTACCACTATCTTAAAAGATCCTTAATCTTTAAAATGCTATTTATGCATCAGTTTTTTGGTGCCAGAAAAGTTTTATAAAAGATTCCGAGATTTTTTCGAAACATATTAATGCATAAAGTATGTACTGAAAAGAAGTTGCAGTTACGAATTTGTCTTAATTTTTTAATAGATTTGAGACTAATTACTTATATTTGCTTGATAAAATATCGTTTGCTCAGTAATTAAATATTTAAAAAATTTTGAATTTGTTTAATTGCCAATAGAAATTTCAAATACTCAAAATTATAAATTATTTGCTTTGCGCAAACATTTATGAATAGGAGCGGAGCACAATAGTGTTATGCAAATTTTAAGTTTATGCAATTCAATATTCAATCACGCAGCAAAAGCAACATTATCGCTATTGAAAAGGTTAATATCAATCATTATAATGCCCATTATATTATATTACTGTATAAATAAATTTTAGTATTTCCTTTTGAATGAATGATCATTTTTATTCATCCTCAGAAAAATGCAGTGATAATTATTAATTTTATCTAT